CACCGCCCTTTAATTGTCAGGTTATGTTGCACGGCACGAGCAATGAATTACATGTGCCATTTTTTTTACCAGAATGAACGATTGTTCTGCGATTTTTTTATATTTATATTTTAATTAACTTTTAATTAATTAATTTTATTATGATTAAATAGTAATATGCTTACATTGACACGTGAGGGTGACGGGTGTTATACTATCAACACAACAAAACAAAATCCCTAATTTTATAAATATTTATCAATTCCAATTCCAATTGAAACGAGGGGTATTTATTGGCCGATGGAATAACATTGAACCATTTCCCGACGACGTTATAGCGAACTGCGTTCATTGGCTGTTTTTATTTCACTGCTATTGAAATTTGCGACTATTTATAAAATGAAGGAAAGGGATTTGTTATATCACAGTCCCTCTATCCCGGTCTGGAAACGCTTCGCGGTCTATTGTCCCAGTGTTGGCAGCGGGTAAATAAAGCGTTCACACCTTGGACAATTAGCCACCACGACGCCGTGAATAAATTCTCATCGGGGAGAAAAAAAAATCGGTCTACTCAGTTTCTGGTAGTGCTAAAAAAATTATACTGCAGGATGTTATTCTTAGAGACATACTGTCACCAGCATTGTAAACTACATCCCAAATATATGCTTGGAAACAAAAATAATGACACGAAAATTCGAATGGCAATGAATCGGCGAGAGGCCATCTTTATTTTGAACGGGAAAAGTGATGCCTAAATATGATACGTATACTGTATATAATATAATAAAACAAGCACAAAGAACCGATCCACCAACTACAACTGGGTTTAAGCTATTCAATAAACAAAAAAACATTGATCATTCTAAAACACATGACGAATAGAAGGGGCCAACCGGTCAAGGTTGTTAGAAGTGTTCCAAGTTGCGATCCCTGAGTGAGTCCTTCAAATTTAAGTGCAATATTCACGAATAATAATGTCAATATACCACTATAGAAAGACTTGCTGGCTAAAGAATTGTGTTGAGCTTCTAAATCTATATAAAGTATCAAATTATGTGTGTGTGTGTGTGTGTTTTCGGTTGTAAAAACTAGAATATGAAAGGAACAATGAATCGATCGTTTCAATAGAATGCTCTGCTATGAAGAAACTATGCTTCACGGAAAGCCATACCCAGCGCAGTCCGAGCACAGCGGTAATTCAGGCCTTAGACAATAGCCGTTTCCAGGCCGGGATAGAGGGATTGTGGTTATATAAATAGTAGCTGGTACAAGGATGTATGGGAATTAAAAGGCGAAATAATATCATTTCACTTGTGTAATTGTTTTCACACACATGGATTTGATATGATGAAATTTAATTATTCTATTAGAATCTCAATTAGCGTCCTAATTTGTGTGTATATGAGTGGTAATGTAATATGCATCAATGTGTAATTGATCGTGTCTATGTTGCCACCACACACTGGGTCAATTGTCTTTCATTCCCTGTGCTGGCGATTGAAAATATGAAGAACTTTTACTAATTGTTGCATTACACCAAGTATCACATCGTGTTCTAGTCCGATATATAAAAGAGTATAATCTGCATATTTGCATGGAATCTGATCAGATTATCGTCAAATTAATGTGACATTGACGGTTGTGTCCGCACATGTTGTATTATCAGTCTTCGCCCAGTCAGGGTACTCATCCAAATCAAATAACGCTCTACCATAACTATTCACCCAAAAATTAATCCATAGAATACCAAGTATGTTGAGTCCTAATCCCGTAATTGCCTAAAAAGAGATAATTAATGATAATGATTTAACTAAATAATCGATTAAGAGCCAATACGAACGATTTTATGTTTGAACTCAATCTACAATTACCTATTGGGGTAGTCAGATTGTGTTAATCATAAAATAACATTTTCTTCTCAGCTGGCGTATATATGTATCTTATTATTCCAACACCATTTTGACGGAGATTTTGAAACCGAAATCGTAAGAAGCCATTTATCGACGGCTTTACTGTTGGATGACGGTTTTAAAAAACCATGAACGTAAAAGTACGTTTTACGAAAAACAAAGCGTCCACGCACAAATTTTGTTGAATTCCGTTGATGGATGAATTAAAGTTACGCTTCATAGACATCTACCAAATATAGTGAATAGCTAATATAATACTGTCAGTTGTCGGCCGGTAACTATGGGTAGTATATAATGCGTCTTACCATATCAGGTATAGTCAGCAATCCATTAGCAAACACCATAGCATTTGGGGCGGTTGCTACTGGCAACATAAATGCATAAGAGATCAAGATCGCACATGGCATCAATACATACAGAGGATGTAGACAAATACTCCCTGCCTATAAAATACAATAAATATAAAGAAAAAAATAAGGTTCAATAAAAATAAAAAAATTGAGTGATCAAACATCGCTCACTTTAAAAGTATGCCAGAAATGTAAGCATACAGTACAATTTGTTGCAAAATGCTGTTCCATGTTGTATAACTGGTGTTGCTATTGACTACCACGACAAGTCATTAATCAAATGATTGACAGAGGTATTACTAGTATCAAGCACCAATACTCAATTTATATTGTGTATGGGATTCAGCGTATATTTCCAATTATTACAACAATGCTTCTTAAAACATTATGTGCCCAGTAAACGTCTGAAAATAATGTTAACAATTTACGACGATACAAAATGTAGCTGTAAATTTAATGTTTAATCACATACCAGAGCCCCTATAATGGGTATAAATATGGTTGCAACTGCAGTGTTGCTAGTCACTTCTGTGAAGAAGCACACCAATGTAGAACAGACAAGAACAATAACCCAGTCTTCCAAAGACCCAAGTGACGATAACTGGTCACCAATCCACTGAGAGAGACCCGAGACCTGGAGAAACATATACATCACGTGAACATTTGATTATTTCGATAGATAGAAACATTTGACACTTTGTATATTAAACCTTTATTAAATAGGAAATTTTGTTCAGTTTGTTCAAAGTTAGTTAAGAAAGTATAGAAATATACATAAAAATGTGAAAAACTCTTACACCATTCTTTGATAACAGCAAGTATGGCATACTGAGAATTATAATAAATCGATGTGTTTTAGAAATAATAACTAATTCAGGCGATGATGTTTGTTGTTGTTGTTGTTGTTGTTGTTGTTGTTGTTGTTGTTGATAGGGATGGAACGAAGATTAAATCAACTTGCCTCCATTCCTTCTGCCAAGGCAAATCCACCACCCAGTAGCAAATACAAACCCCATGGCATCTTTTCATTGACGACCTTCCAGTTTAACAAACTTACTTTGGGTGCGGTCTTAGATGTATCTGTTGAATGTATTTTAATTAAAAACAGGGTTACGGGGTACAATCAATCAATGACAAATATTGCGATTAATCATTAACATGAAAGTTACAAATCGTGAAAAAGCTGGTCGCGCGTTTGCACAACTGGAACATAATTATGGATATATGAGCATTTAAATCGCATTGTAATGTACCTTCTTTTGTCCTGAATCCAAAGAAACTTGGAAAAGCACAGGGAAAACAGAATAGAACAATTGCCATAAATATAGCAGGAGTCGCATCAGTAACATAGCTGAAAAAACACATTATATCGTGGTTAGATACAGTTGTTTTGACAGAGAGAGTTTAACAGTGTAATTCACCGTCTACCGTGTGTTTCAATGAGATAAGAGAAACAAACCGTGAAGGTAGTAAATAGACTCACTCTTCTGGAAATAGGTTTGTCCATCCATATCCACCAATATCCCTGGTTATCCACGCTACACACAGAGTAACGAACAGCGTCAACACACACAGTTCAGCCCAACTATAAGTGAACCACATGTTCATTTGAGAAAGTAATATATACAGGGAATATTGTGTACACTGACATTATAGTTGACTATTAAAGCCACACAAATAACTGCCTAACATCGAATAAACAAGCCTCAATAATAATAATGTAATGTACAACCAATTCAAAGCATTAACAAGTACTAGATATATACATCTATCACCTCAAACATGACAAACAATAATTTCTCATTGTTAATGATACACACATTTCATTTTCTTGAACAGTCAAATCATGAAATTACCGACGTGGATTGACTGGCCTGTGCTGGTAGGGTCTGGTATGGAACCAATACACGGGTTTGTTTGAGTTATTGAGCACATACATATACTAAACATGGTCAAATAAATTTAGAATACTACATCTCGCGAAAGGTGGTACTAGTGGGCCTTTGCATTTAAATGTTTAAATCTGCAAATGAATTACTATTCCGACAGCAGAAGTGATTCATGAGATTTAATATTACTTACCTAAAAGGTCCAAGGTTTTTAAAATCGTCCCTGATAACTTTTTTTATCAATATTTCTTCTTCAGTTGTTTTACAACTACATGAACATGATGCTAAACCAGACTTTCTCCATGGACTGAAAAATATTACATACCTTATACATTACGTATATTTATTCACATTCAAATATACAACAGGGCTACTGTTTTTTGTCTGGATTTTGTTTTATTTGGTCTGATGTATGTATCCGCTAAATCAAATAGAACTGAGCGAAAAGAAGCAATCGTATTCCAACAGAACGCGTGCTTCTACAATAGCGGATGACAAAAATATGGGCACACTTAGCACGTACATACTACGTCAGTGGAAACCTATATTCACGCACAGAGTTGTAAGACTTGCAACCAATCTCTACTAATTCATTCTATTGCGGGTCAAAATATATATATATATATATATATATTGAAAACATACCATAAATCTAAATACATGAACAACAACCAAAACCAGGCAATGAATATAAATAGGAAAGACGACGGAAAGCTGAATATAAACCACGATAGAAAATTGAGAGGATGATCATCGAAGCGCCTGAAAACAAACAAACAAACAAACAAACAGACTATACATATGGAAACATGAATACGATTATCAAAATATACGTTACTTGTATCGATAATACTCCGTCATTTTACGTACATTAATCTAATTGTAATGCCTATTGTATTCTCGCAAATAACATAGCTCATCCTGATTAATTGTTATGATAAACTATACCAAAAGTGACGTCATTTTGAAAATAGGTCACGAGGCATGCGCAAAGTTCTCAATTACAAAATGTATTAAACTTACTCGTCTAAATTTGACAGTAATATAAGTTGGGGCGATGTACCAATCAGTGTAGCTGTGCCACCAACATTAGCAGCATAACATATTGCTAACATCAAAGCTTTTCCAAATAATCGATAATCTTCGGATAGCTGTAAACCATTGCTGTCATCTTCGATCTTTATCTCTGCATCAGGAGCTTTTTCCTCTAGTATGCTTATCACACAAACATAGAAAGCAAGTTTTTTTAATTGATCTGTGTAACTCATGATAAAGTTATTTTTGAGATCTCATGTGCGGTTAAACACCTCGACATACGCTCCCTGCAAGCTTTTGAGACACCCCAAGGTGTAGTCAATTCACATTATATTGGCGATATCGAGTTAGTTGTAAAAGAACCCAGCACGTGTTGTGGATTTCCTGTATTGTAGTAGTAGTGTAGATGTCGTTTTGTGTACGTTATGTGCCTATTTTGTCCAATCAAAAAACCACTTACAGAACATTTGATGTGTTGTCTTGTAAAGTATTTGAAGAACCGTTCTGTTGCTCTGTGTCATTCTTCACGATATACTCCGTACCAGTGGCGTCGTCGTACACGTCCCCCATCTCTATATGATGAGATTCTTTGGTGTACTCTTCCTATCATAAAGGTTAAAAACACGTTTATAATTTCGAAGGCAGAATTACAGAAACTCCGCTGATAAATATGTTAATGGCGATATTTACCTTGGGCAATGTGTTTATTTCTGATAATCGAACCAATACAGCTTGGGCTATGGGTAACATCATTGCCGTGGTAGCTGTATTGCTCATCCACGCTGATAAAAACCACGTGACCAACATAAAGCTCAGAAGCAGCCTGCCAAAAGAAAGCGAGTTAAGTACAAACTGTATTTAATAGTGTTCAACAAGTGCCTCAACATACCTAGGTTTATACATCTATATAATGCGACTTGGAACTTAATTTACACAATTGCGTTACTCACCATCTTTTTTTCGTGCCGGAAATCATCAATACAGATAACGCTATTCGCCGATGAAGATTCCAGTGTTCAATTGCAATAGCCATCATTATACCTCCAAGTAACAGAGCGCTGGTGTCCTTGAAATACATCGAAGCTGTAGCACCACCATCCATAATTCCAAACACGGGGAATAGTGCCAGTGGTATCAGAGAAGTAACAGCTATAGGCATGCATTCAAAAACCCAATAGAATGACATCACTATTAAGATATAT